AAAAAAAAAAAAATCCCCCTCATTCCCTGACTGTCGCCGCTTCCGCTCTTGGATGGATTGGCATTTTGAAAAAAGTAATTCAGTCAGCTGCATTCGGCATCGTCGAATCGTGCACCAGAGCCCAGGCTCGCAGCGCCTCTTTACGGCACGGCACGGAGGCGGTCATCAAGCCAGAGCGCGAAGAGCAGCGCGCCTGTCGTCACTAGTAGGCTGCTCTTCTGGTACCTACGCCGCCGCCGCTGTATGCTGCCTGTCATGCTCAGATGCGGTCGTGTCTCACATCCGCTTCTCGTCTCTTGGCTTCCACGCCTGACTGTGGCATGCCATACTGTACTGCCTTCCGCTCCATGATGCCGTCTACAGCCTGTGTCTTCCCTGCCACCAGCAGCTGAGGCTGCCGCTTCTCTTCGTCGCCTGCTCCCCTTCCCCTCGCCATCCTCCTGCATCCGCTCTTTTTTGCTCGTCCATGAGCAGCGCAGCGCTCATCTGCATCCGCCGTTCCGTGCTGCATAGTCGCTGCTCCCTTCGCTCGGTCTGCCATTCTAGCCGCCCGCGACGCCGCCGCCGCATGTGGCTGGCCGCTTTAGCTTTCCACCCGACTGCATCGTCGCCGTTCGCTCGAGGCGGCTTCATCACCCCCTCCTTCCCTTTCTTGTCCATATCCGTCACAGACTTGGGGCAGCCTGCCTCTCGACGTTCACCCTCTCTCGTCGCCTTGCCTCTGCCAGCCGCTCTCCACATCTGCACCTCCATCATCTCCGCCCCCGCTGCATTTCCCAATCCGTCGACACGATCCGCTCCCTCAGACGCGGTGCTCTCGAGCGCTCGGCGTAAGTTGCCTCTTCCGGTAGACACGATTGTCCAGGCACTGCTGTCTCGCCTGTGCCTGCCAACGCCGTCTCGCCCAGTCGACAGCTCCGGCAGCCCGCATCGGGTCTCACCTCTGCAGCCGTACCCGAGAGACCTGGCATGCTGACCACCGCACGTCGCTCCTTCACCCCGCACTGTCTCTCCTCGCTCGACGCCTCGCGCACTCATCATCCGCCCGTCCGACATCAGCCCAGGAGTCTCTGTTTGGACAGCTGCTTCTGATTCACCTTTGCTTCCGTCTCACGGTGTCTTATCTATCCTTGTCTCTCCTGCGGTTTCTCCCCCCTTCTTTGATTCATCTTGCGTCTCTCTCCTTGCTTCTCCCCCTTCCACTACCACCATACCTTGTCTCACCTCCACTGTCACTGCCCATCATCTGCACCGTCTCTGCGACATTCGTCTTCACTGGCCACTACGAGACAAGTAGCTAGCCTTCGCTGCCATCCTTGACAGCTTCCAGCCTCCAGCTTTCATCACTGTTCAAGCTCGACCGTCACAGAACAACCTTCACCATGTCTGGGGCTGCATCCACCAACCCTGCCCTCAGCTTCGGCCCCACGGGCCCCTCGTCGATGGCCTCGTCGACCTTCCAGTCTCCCGACCCTTCCTCGAGCTCCGCAGCAGGCTACAACGCCGTTGGCAGCTTTCCTGCTGGATTCGGACGCGTTAAGGCCGACCCTTCGAGCTACAGCTACGACGAGCAGGCTCCTCGATCGCAGCAGCACGGAAACTACACCCATCACGACCTCGGAGGCGCGGGTACCTTGGCACAAACACAGGCTCTTGGAGGATTCAACCCATCCACCAACCAGCACTACGCCGATCCCATCCGCTCAGCAGCTGCCGGTCCGGCCAACTATGTCCCAGGTCACACGCGCCACCAATCGCTCAACTCGGGCGTGAGCCAGCTTGGTCTTGGAGGCGGAAGCAGCGCATATTCGTTTGGCGACGTCAATGCCAGCCAGTACAACAACTACAACCTCGTCCCCGCGCAAAGGTCGCCATCGGGTCGCTCGTCGGGTCTCCCCGCCGAGACTTCGCCGACGCGCACTCGCTTGCCATCGGTGGGCTACAGCGACCCGCGCACCATCAACCGCCCTCCTTCTCGCACTGTCGGTCTCGGCGTGTCGGTGACACCAGGCGCCAGCAGCGACGAGTCGGCCAAGGTCGAGACCGGCTCGCCCCGATCGCTCAAGCGATCGGCGGATCCGTTGGAAGACCTCCGCAGCTCCTCGGACCACGCCCAGCTTCGACGCCCTGCGTCATTCCCCGTGCTGGGTGCGGGCGGCAGCGGCATGTACGGCCGTCCGATCGGCCAGGATGCTCGCAACGCTCAGTCCATCGGCCGCAGGACGGGACGAGGCGGTATGGGCGTGCCCGGGCAGCTTACACCTGGTCGCTCCAATGCCATGCTTCCCGGCCTCGGCGGTGGATTCTATGACTCGGATGCCCGTCGCGAATCTCTGGGATCCAACACCACAATGCAATCTCCCGGCGCCTACCACGGCGGCTCCGGCTCGTCGGATGAGCTCGGACTCGGTGGCGGTGGCATCCCGCAGCTTATGCGCGCCACGCAGATCCTAGGCTCCATCCCACCTGCGCCTGCTATGGCTTCGCACGATCCCATGTACAGCCCTCCGGGCGGTGCGGGCGGCGGCGCTCCCCGTGCCAGGCTCGAGCTGCACGGCAATCTCAACGACATGGCCGTGGGCTGGTCGCACGACGAGTGGAGGAGCGGGCGTCGTCTGGTGCAGTTCTGGAGGCGACAGGAAGGCACCACGATCCACGCCACCTTCCGACCTATTCTGCCGTCGCAGTACGTGCCCAACAGCATCGTCATCTCGTGCATCTTTCGCGAGGACAAGAACGAGTGCTTTGTCACTTCGGTCGACACGATCTACCTGCTCGAGGCGCTGGTGGCGAGTCGCTTCACCGTCGAGGAGAAGAACCGCATCCGCCGCAACCTCGAGGGCTTCCGTCCCATCACGGTGAGCAAGAACAAGCGCGAATGCGAGCGCTTCTTCAAGCTCATTATGAGCTTTCCCAACCCGAAGCCGCGCAACATTGAGAAGGACGTCAAGGTGTTCCCGTGGAAGGTGCTTGCCTCGGCCCTGTGCAAGATCATTGGCAAGTACAGCGCATCTTACGAAGGCGGTCCGCCGGTGCTGTCCGACCTGGGCCCGGATGCATCGTTCGGCGGAGCGATGGGTGGCTCTCTGTCGTCGGTCGATCTCTCGGGCGGCCACTACCGAGATGTCAGCTACCCAAGCTCGTCGCCCTCGATCAAGGACACGCGTCTGCCCGGGGCGTTTGACTACGATCGTCAGGGAGGCGCTGCGGGCGCCTATGCAGTCTCGAATCCAGGCGCACATCATTCGGCGGGATATGGTGGCAACGCGTGGAACATGGGCAGCCAAGACATGGCGTTCAACGCTCCCGGTGCGGCGACGGGTTATGCGCAGGGCCCAGGCGTTCCCTTCTCCACGGGTGGCGGCGGATCCCACAGCCACACTCACAGCGCCAGCAGCTACGACAGCTTTGGCGGAGGCAATCTGGTGCAGAATCCCGCCGCGTCGGATGCCGGCAACATGTACGCGCAACAGCCGCAGGAGGCATACTCGGCTACCGCTCCTCCGCCCCATAGCCAGGCACCGAGCTCGAGCACGCTCGCGGCTGCCACGGGCGACTACTACGCGGACAACAGGTGATGGCCTCCGCTCCTTCCTTTCTACTCGTGCTCTTTCATTCCACTCTTCGGTTCGGGCTCAAGGTTCCTGTAATTGCACGTCACCGTCCCACACTCTCCACCCTTCCTTGCTGTGCCCTCCACTGTGGATGCAGAACCCCCGGTCTCTTGTAATCTTATCGCAATAATAGCATAGACGTACCCCAAAGACGAGATGAACTCACGCGCGAGTGACTTGCGACACAGACCCAAGCGCATGACAAGCAGAAGAATAACCGCTCTTGCCCGCCGAGCAGATGTCACCTCGGGACAGGGAGGTGTTGCGAGCTTCCTCAGGCTTGAATCCCGCGAATGGCCCCACCGAGAAGTGGCGATTGCGCACGGCCCCGCTTCTCACCTCCGTCATTGCCACTGAGCTCTTTCCGATGATGCTCGTGGCTGTGGCTGAGGTCTGTGTGGCCTGGGAGTTTCTCGCGCCGCTGTGGTGATTACGCACTTCGTCAAGTATTTCGGAAGTCAAATGCATAAGCGGAGCGGCGTCGATAGGATGTGCACGGATCACATGGCCGGTTGAAATCTCGGCTTCCCCGCATGCACGGCTTGCCGGAACTCGAACCGGCAATGATCGGGCGACTTGATTTGTGTCCACCATCCTATCCGCAGATATCGAGCATGGCATCATTCACCGACCCCTTCGACGCGGCTGGCTTCAGCTCCCAAGTGGTGCGCATCCCGCCACCTGAAACTGACCCTGATGTGGACGTGAGCATCTTTTACCGCCGATCGCCATCCTCGGACAAGGCCAAGCGCGGCATCTTGCTGCTGCACGGCCATCCACAGACACATGTGATCTGGGCGGACATCGCACCGGCGCTTGCTGCCGAGGGAAGCTGGGATGTGGTGGTGCCGGACAACCGCGGCAACGGCAACAACGACGGCCCGGCACCGAAGAGTGCGCCGGGTTACTCGAGGTACTCGAAGCGCGAAATGGCACGCGACATGGTCGAGCTCATGCGCCAGTTGGGCCACGACGAGTTCTTTGTTGTCGCGCACGACCGCGGCGCTAGGATCGCACATCGTATGGCACTCGATGCCCCGGATAAGATCAAGAAGCTCATCCTGCTCGATATTGCTCCGACTGTAAGTGCGCCGTTCTCTCCCTTTCAAGTGGTGCTTGCTGACGCGGCTTGGCATTTCAGTTGGACATGTATGAGAAGACGGATGATCGCTTCGCGTCTGTCTACTGGCACTGGTTCTTCCTGTTGCAGCCGTCGATTCCGGAACGCTTCATCCTCGCCGATCCGCACGCGTACTACAATGCGCTCGTCACGCGCTTCCCACGCACCACGCCGAGCTCGGGTTTGGGTTCGGCCCAAACTGCCGTCGACGAGTGGCGGGCAGGAGTCCATCTAGCCAATTTGTCGCGCGAGAGCTCGGTGGCTGCCATGTGCGAAGACTACCGTGCCTCTGCACCCGCCGATGCGCCCGACCTGGATCTGGATCGACACGACCGCCAGCGCGGCCACAAGATCGCTTGCCCGCTGCGCGTCATCTGGGGCAAGCACGGCGTCATCCATGCGCTGTACGACGCGCTCGATCTGTGGCAAAAGTGCGCACACCAAAAGGTGGAAGGTCGAGCACTCGACTGCGGTCACTACATCCCCGAAGAGGCGCCGCACGAGGTGCTGGCCGAGATCAAGTCGTTCTTCGGCTGAGCCCAAACTGCACACCACGGAAGAGGCATTTCGGGTATCAATTGGATTGCATCAGCTTGTACGTTGCCGATACGGCAGTGGTGTGACTGGGCTCGGGCGAGCGCGGAAGGTGTCGCGATGCGAGTGCGTGTGGCGCTAGTGCTGCCATGACTGAGGTGCGTGGCTCGCTGCGCCTTAAGAGCACATTTCGGCGAGTCCATGCGTGTGTCTGCTGCGTTTGAGCGGATGCTTCGCTTTCGGCGGATCTAAGAGCGTGGTTGGCTGCCCGAAAAGCTGAAACACTTGCTGTCCATGCCTGTTGGGTTTGCGTGGACGAGGATGCTCGGTGGGACACCGGGGCGTCAAGATAGAGCCACTGCCACCGGTGCTGGATGTGGAGTCAGGAAGTCTGGCATGCATTGGGCTCAGTAGTACTCTGGCTGGCGCATAACGACGGTATCGTCTCCGTCTGCCGACTCTTCGGGCGCTGCGCCGGCGTTGTAGTAGTAGGGATTGGCGCCGTCGCCGTTGTACGCGTCGGGGTGCATGTCGAGGCCGTACGCGTCTGCGCCTGCAGCGGCCATGGCCTCTGCCTCTGCCATCTCTGCCTGTTCCTGCACGGTGGCCCACACGGACGCCTTGTAAAGCGTAAGGACGAGCCCCATCTTGCGCTCGAGCACGCGCATCTGCGTGAGCAGGTCGGCGTGCGCAGCGGACGACGAGAGGATCGTTGAGAGAGCTGCGACCTGTTGGGCAGAAGGTGGATCGGAAGCCGTCAGTCAGGATGAAGAGTGCATGCTGGAAGATGCGGGAGGCGTACTCACACGTCGGATGGTGTCTGCAAGACGAGCGTATTCGCCAAGCAGTTCCTGCTCGTGCTCGGCGAGTGCGCGGTGGCCTGCGTAGGGGTTGACGTAGGGCTTGGGTGCAGTGGGCAGCGCAGCGACCTGGTCGAGCACTTCTTGGATCGTTGCCATGATTGCGGAGAGTGAGTTGGTGAGTCTTTGGCCTGCTCGCGATGATGGTCGAGAGGATGGGCGGTGGGCGCGCGACTTTTGGCAGCAAAAGCAACACCTCGAGAACAACAACACTGATCCAGTGCCTCTGCCCACCTCACGCGTCTCGCTCAGCTCGACATTTTTACGCGCGTCGACGAGCCGAGCGACACTGATACTGTGGGACCTAACAAAATTTATCGACGCGCCCGATTTCGACGGCAGATGCGTTCGAGATCTGCAGGTGTTGGTCTCTGCAGCGGCACAGTGGTGGAGGCAGCAAAGACGGCCAAACACTCGACACCAACGGTTGCACCATTCCACCACCACGGCATTACCACCCCACCGTACAGCGACTAGACGGCATGCATCGACAACACACGAGAGCGCCCTAGAGACTCACATCGGTCCGCAGCGGCATCCTCGCACAATGGCGTCCGACGTCTTCTACAACCGACTGCCCTACACTCAGCGCCGTGCCGTCGCGCACCAGCGGCGTGACTCGGCATCGGCACCGGGCTCGTCTTCGTCCGTACACCCGCGCAGATCCGTCGGCACCACGCGCTCCGGCGGCGCTCTCACCTTCCCGCCGCTCTATCTCGATCCCATCGACCCGCTTGCCGCACACGACCCGTCCGCCCACCCGCAGGCCGCCAGCCATGCACAGCAGCCGGGCAACTTTGTCCTCGGCTCCACCTTCTACCATCATCCGGAACTCAACGCGCTCGTATCGAATCACCTTGTCGATGCCTCTGCCAATGCACCCGACGGCGCCTCTGGTACTGGCCATGCCTTTCTCAGCACCATCTTTGCCAATCGCGACGGCGCACACGATGACGACTCGGACGGCGAGGACGCTGCGCTCAATGCGGCGGATGCAGCGCTAGCCGTGCCTAGGCCCAAGATCACCGCAGAATTCGTCTCGCTCAACGAGGACCTTGTGCCGGCCTCTCTCGACATGCATGGCGACATGCTGCCAGCAGATCAGCATCCGTCCTATCCATTTGGCAATCTCTTTGGGCCGCTCGGAGGCGCGATTGCTGCAGACAGTGCCATCGTCGGCGGGGCACACGGTACATCAGCCTCCTCGACCTCAGCCGCAGCCTCGCTTGCCGCAGGACTGGGTGATGCAGCCGACACGCTTGGCTTCAACTTTGGCGGCGGACTCGAAGGACTGATGAGCCTCGGTCGGGCGAGCCACGGGCGGCGCGGCGCGGTGGCCAACGGCTGGAACCCGTTCATCAACAAGGCATCGCGCACCAAGCTTGTCGGCTCTGCAGGAGCTCAGGCGCGCTGGAACGACGACGCCGAGCAAGAAGCCGAGCCTGGGCATCCCGCTCGAGTGCCCGACGCCAATACCACCGAGGCTTCGCAGGCAGATACTTTGCGAGCGGCAAAGAAGCTCGATCTGTCGCCCAACTTGCTCTTCCGCACAAGTACCGCCACCGTGCTTTCCGCACCATCCTGGCCCTTCCGACGCCACGGGCCTGGCGCGACCAACTTTGCGGCTCTGCTGCGCCCAAGCTCCAACATCTTTGGCACGAGCCCGGCGAGCCAAGCCGTAGCGGCGACGCTGGGCGGGCTACCTGCGAGTGCGAACATCATCGGCGAAGTGTGGTCCGACCTGGCGCTCGAAGAGCTGCTTCCGCGCAACGTGGGCGATACTGCGGCGGTCCGCCATCTCGGTGGTGGAGTGGAGGAGGACGCGGAGGACGAGGCGGCAGGAGCCGAGGGGAGAGGCAAGAAGCGCAGGCGGTCCGAGCCGGAAGCGGATGCGGTATTCGCGCGACGTGCGGCGGCGATGGAGGCGGATCCGCTGGATCTACTTGGGCCGATATCGCGCGAGATCCGCGGGCAGGCAGCTGTGCCCTGGGGCACCGCCAGCGCCCGCGCAACGCAAGGCCGGCACGATGGCCGACCACGACGTCGACGCAGGCGGGACGCATATTCGGATCAGTCGGAAGACGAAGCGGCCGAGGCGGAACACGACGATCCCGAGCAAGGGTACGCACACCGCGACCGCGTGCGGTACAGCTTTGCGCTCCCACCGGCCACGTTCACCTGGACCGAAGCCGATGACTCGGAGCTGGACGACGATGCCGAGGGCTCGCGTGAGCTGCGTGCCGAGCCGGATGGTATTGGGTTTTCCACTGCCAAGCGCATCTTTGTCAACGAGGAGCGCGATCGGCTGCTGCCGCCCGTGTATTCGCGGGCCGCGGCAGCAGCGGGAGCCATCGAGCCGTACCGCGTGCGCGGCGTGCGTGCGAACCAGGGACTCCTCCCGCGGCCGCCATGGACATGGAGGGACGGTACAACAGATGCAGACGCAGCAGCCGACCTGAGCGTGCAGACTGAGCTGTCGGCATCCACATCCCATCCGACTGACTTGCACAGCACAGCGCAGGAGCAGGGAGACGGGTGGCAGCAACACCAAGACGTCGACGAGGTCCATGACGAAGACGACGAAGACGACGAAGAAGCGCAGATCCAGCGTGCGCTGCTCATGCAGTACGAGGATGCGGCAGCTCAGCGTGCCGACAGCGAGGAGGCGGCTCAATCTCACGACGATCAGCAGTACGACGACGAAGATGAGGAGGACGAAGTCGGGTCCTTTGACTAGACCCGCCGCCCTCGCTAGCAATTCAACACTCGGACAAAAAGCAGCAGCAATGTGTGACGAAAGTGTGTCCATTCCCAAGGCAAATGCTGAGGTGAACTCACTTGCCGCCGCGGAAGGCGTGGTAGGGGCTGGCCTGGTTGACGGGGAAGACGAGGCTTTCTGCGATGTTGACGTGCGCCGGGCGGTTGGCGGCCCAGACGATCTCCTCGGCGATGTCCTCGGGCGTGAGCGGCTGCAGGCCCTGGTACACCTTGTCCGCGGCGTTCTTGTCGCCCCTGAACCGCGTCACGCTAAAGTCGGTCTCGACCATGCCGGGCTGGATCTCGGTGACGCGGATCGGGGTGTCGACGAGCTCCTTGAGCAGCGCACTCGTGAAAGCATTCACCGCGAACTTGGTGGCGCAGTAGATCGAGCCACCTGGGTATCCCTCGCGACCGGCGATGGAACCGAGGTTGATGATGTGGCCTGCGTTGCGCTTCTTGAACTCGCGCACAAAGATCTGGGTGAGGTGGATGAGCCCACGCACGTTGGTGTCGAGCATGACGTCGATCTCGTCAGGCGAGATGTCGCCCACCTTGTCCGTGCCAAGCACGAGGCCGGCGTTGTTGACGAGGATGTCGACATTCTTGGCCCAGTCCGGAAGGCTGGCGAGCAGACCGTCGAGCTGCGTGCGGTCGCGCATGTCGAGCGTGATGGCGGCAAAATTGCCTCCAGCACCCGTCTGGCCCTGCTGGTTGGCGAGCGAGCACTCGGTGGCTGCTTGCGAAAGCGCCTCAGCCCGACGTGCGGTAAGCACGACGTTGCATCCGGCGCGCGCAAAGAGCACAGCGGCAGCCTTGCCGATTCCGCCCGAAGCACCGGTGACAAGCACGGTCTTGTTGTGCAGTCGCTGCGTAGGGAACACCGTCGTCATGCTGGGAAAGATCTGGGCAGGTTTGGCTGGAGATGGGGTCTGCGAAGTGATGGCGCAAGAAGCGGTAAAGGTGCGAGCGAGGTAAAGAGTGGGGGGACGTCGTTCAAGCGGTCGGATGGAGGAGTAAGCACTTCGGACAGCGCAGCTTCGTGTGGCAGCCGAGAACAACATGCGTTTGTGGAGAAGAAGCAACAGTGGGCTGCAGCGGATGGATGCTGGAAGTGTTGCTCAGCCCGTAATCGCCGGGCCGAATGTAAGCCCAACAGAGGTCGCAATTCGACGGTCTGTGCACCACAACCGAATCGGCGCTGTCTGACTTCACTCTGCAGGATCGCCGGTCTCAATTCAGCCTCCTCTGGCTTCGAGGCCACACCACCGCGAATTTCGGGCAAACCGTCGTCCTGCCGCCGCTCACTCCCGAATTTCGGCCGCGCTTGTCCGCACACTCGTTCAAAACAGGCTCTCAAAGAACCATCCGTGCTGGCGGTTTGAGCGTGCGGTGACATTTTAGTATGAAGCTGCTGTGGCTATTGCGCTGGAGCCGATCGGAGCTCCTTGGCCATCTGCGCCTCGCGCCCACTGAGCAATCCTTGCGCGTCGTGCGACTCTTGCGGCTCGCCCACGACATCGCCCAGATCCTCCACCTCGCCGCCGGCCTCGACGGCGTCGTCGCCCTCGCCGTCGTCTTCGCCCACTTCGTCGATCACAAAGGCCGGACGTTCCTGCAATAGCGCCTCTTGCGCCGCCCTGAGCGCCTCCGCCGCTGCTTTGGGCCCCTCGGTCGATAGGTCCGTTCCGCGCAGGCTCACCCTCTTGTCCGCTTTCGACATAGGCGGCTGCTTCTGAAGTGGTCTCCCGCGCTCCGCTGCACTCGCCGACGTCGTCGCGGATACCGATGTCTCCTGCTCCGCTGCTGCTCCCTTGAGGTCCTGCGTCGAGGGTGTCCGCGCCGGTGCGCGCAACGCGTTGAACAGCCGGTTGCCGAGCGTCGATTTGCGCTCCTCCGCTGCTCTCTTCCTCTCGAGCGCCTCCTTCTCTCTGAGCTCCTGAGTGTCCATCTTTCCTCCATCAAGCGTCGAGTTGCGTCCGAACGATGGTCGCGGCCCTGTCACCGTGTGTGTCTGGAGTCGCTGCCCCACCTGATCCGCAAGCTGGTTCATCTTGGCCTTGCCCTCTTCGCCAAGCAGGTTGCCCAGGAAGCCCACCACCTTGCCGCGCGTACCCGTCGTCACGTCGCGGCTATAGGTTGCTTCGCCTGTGCTGCTCTCCTTGGTGGCGCCCGGCACGGCGCGCGGCGCGCCGGGCAGACTCGGAGCGGTATGCCACGCGTAGGCGCCGCCGCTCTGGGATCGTTCGACGGATTCGAGGTAGAAGGATTCGGCGAGGTCGGATTTGAAGAAGGATTCGAGCACGGGAGAAGAAAGCACGAGCATGCGGAACGAAGCGAGTGATAAGAAGGGCACATCCTGTCCAATCGTCGCGTCGGACGCCTTGTCGCCCGCCGCGGATGTCGGCAAGGAGGAGCGAGCGTCCGGCTTGGAGTCCTCACCATCTTCATTGCTGCTCGAGCCTGGCTTGCCACCAGTCGAGCTCTCGGCGTTGAGCTTGCCCGCCCGGTCGACGGCGATCTCCCACAGCGCCTCGGAGGCGCGTTCGAGTTCCGATTGCCATTCTTCCGAGTCTTGGCTGCGCACCTCGTCCTTGGGCAGGTCCGACGCCTTTTCGAGGCTGGCCACCTTGTCTCCGAGCAGCTTGGCCAGCTCATCAGCGACAGCAGCTCTGGACCGGCCGGCGACGTAGGTGACGAAGCGGAGGCCCGGATACTTGGCCTCGTAGATGGCATTCAGCCTCGCGAGCTCTGTATATGCCAAGAGGTAACAGGGTCAGTCTTGGAGCGGCATGCACGCATCCGTGAGGTCCGGCGGCTCGACTTACTCTCTAGTGTAGCGGGATCGACCTGGCCTCCCTTCATCTGTTCCTTGCGGCTCTCTTCGCTGAGTTCGGATGTGGGTGCATTGAGAGGGGCGCCGATGCGCGGATGGCCGCCGATGAACTTGGCTCGGCGTTCGACGGCCCAGCCAGGGTCCTCCTCGACGCAGAAGCGCGCGACATCGAGCAGACCTTCGTATGATTCTGGACGCGAGTCTTCGGGCAGATCAGCGATCGCCGCCGCAGACTGCGAGGCGAGATCCGGCAAGAGCTCTTTGGGACATTCGAGCAGCCGCAGCAGGATGGGCGATAGCTGTTCGGAAGTGGCCGACGGGATCTGACCCGCCTGGATGATTGGCGCGCTCATCGGATTCGCTGCGACGACGTGGCCGGAGCAGAGCGTGGGAAGCTGACAGAGACCACGGCTGGACCGATGCGAGCGAGGGGTGCGGTTGCTTCCGTGGTGATGATGGCTGTAAAGCTAGATGTGATGCGATAGTGACAGTGTGGGATCAGCAGCGGGAGCGGTCCGAAAGAGCAACCAACACACACTGCCCTGCTGCTCCGGATTGGCGGCGTGGGTTCGGATGCACGGACGCCTTCCGATAGCGCTTTGGGCGTGGATTTCGGCTTTGGCCGTGACCAGCTTGTCTCGCGCGAAAAAAGGCGCCGCCACGCGTAGGAAGGAAGACTGGGGCGGAGGCCAAGCTGTGCAGAAGCTGTCGAGACCAACACATCTCCACCTGCTCTTCACCACCACGCTCTCCACCATCGGTCATCGCGACAGCAGGCGTCATGTCGTCCGCTGCCGCTGCAATCGCTGGGCCCTCCCAGTCCAAAGTTGAGACCAACTCGCGTGGAATCCCACATGCACCTTTCATCGTAAGTCCGCCTTTGACACGCTTTCACTCATCCCTCCAGCGCAGCGCTGACCTTGGTGGCCTGGCATTCTGCAGTCCAATGTGCAAGAATATCTTGGCGGTCCCGATGAGGAGGTGGAGCCGACTCTGAAAAAGTTTCAGGAGACCATGTCCAAGTACAAGTTCATGGAGCTCAACACGGCGCAGCGCCGTCGTGGCCTCGAAGAAAAGATCCCCGACATCCGCAAGACGCTCCAGATGGTCAACTTCCTCCAGCAGAAGAAGGACGACCCAGAGTCCATGCAAACCACATTTGAGCTCAACGATACGCTCTACGCAAAAGCTCAACTCGACCCCGTCGACACCGTCCATCTCTGGCTCGGCGTAAGTCAGGCTCGGCAATCACATCGCAAGGATCCGTCACGCTGACCTACCCTCTTTGCCCTGTTGATTTCGCAACTTAGGCCAATGTGATGCTCGAGTATCCGCTGGAGGAGGCCATCTCGCTGCTGAGCGCCAAGCTAGCTGGTGCGGAAAAGTCGCTCGCGGCATCCAAGGAGGACCTCGACTTTCTGCGCGAGCAGATCACCATCATGGAGGTCAACACGGCACGCGTGCACAACTGGGACGTCAAGCGCCGCCGCGAGCGCAGAGAAGAGCTCGAACGCAACGGCATCACCACAGACGCTTCCGCCTCCAAAGCGTCCCAGGCGTCGTGAGTGTTGGCCCCGCGATTCCCCTTTACGTTTCGGCTGAATTGTACAATACCACAACGCCAGGGCGTTTCCAATCGACATATTGGTCTCGTAAACGTTGTCATTAGGGCAAACCTTGATTCGGAGCCTTGACTGAAGCTTTTGTGCGGTCTTTTTCCCTTTGGCTTGCTCTTGCGTAGCACATGGCTCTCAAGCGATCGCGATGCGCCGTCCGCAGGTTCTGTCGCACGGCCAGCGACAGCGCTGGCGCCGGAGAGCGGCACTGAGAACGATGGCAAGGCTGAGGGGAGCGAGAACACAAACTCGACAGCGCCAGAGGGAACGCAACCAGACGCGGCCAAGTCAGAGCACGGGGCGGATGGGGGCGCTGTCGTCGAGCAGCCATCAATAGAAGACAAGAAGGCAGAAGAAGCGACGGCATCCGATGGTGATGGCGCCAAGCCTCTGCCTGCAAGCAATGCTGACACGGAGAGTGTTCGTCGAGCGGACGGCCCGAGCGGCGCAGTCCACGCCAGCACTGGGGTCGCTGGGGTCGGCTCTTCCGCCGTGGTTGATCGATCGTCACTGCCTTCGTCGCTGGGAGTACCTCTGAGCGATGCGGCGTCGTCGACGGCGCTCGTCGTTCCGCCACTCAACTTTTCGATGGTTTCGCGCGGCATCTATCGATCTGGCCATCCGAACGAGCGCAACTTTGAATTCCTGCGCCGACTCAACCTCAAGAGCGTCATGTATCTGGGCACGGAAGACTACCGATCCAACATGACCTCGTGGACCGCCTCGCAGGGGATTCAGACCTTCCACCTGCGCCTAGCCATCAACAAGGAACCGACGGCCGAGATGGACGAGGCGGACGTAGTGCGTGCGCTTCAACTCATCCTCCAACCCGCCAATTGGCCGATGCTCATCCACTGCAACAAGGGAAAGTACCGCGTCGGATGCATCGTAGGCCTCCTGCGCAGGCTGCAAGGCTGGAGCCACACGAGCATCTTTGAAGAGTACACCAGATTTGCAGGGACCAAAATCAGCGATCTCGAGTTCATAGAGGTCTTTGACCTGGCTAAAGTCTCGCTGCAATGAATCGCATTCGGCACAAGTCACAAGCAGCAATTTGGTGTGCACGTGTGTGTGGAGTGGAAGATCCTAGAACCACACGTCGACCCAGTTTCGATGGCGGGCATTGGAGGAGGTTCGACCATGCACGGCGTCGAGGACACGCGCGCGTTGCCACTGCCACATCTCGATGCGCTCGTCCGAGTGCGGACAAAATACGCACAGCACCACCTCGCCCATGGCGCCCTGCTGGCGCGCTGCAGCTGGCGGCGGTACGATATATGTCGCAATGTTAGGCTTGACCGTGTGGGTGATGAGCTGGCTAAAAGAGGCCAATCGCGGCGGGATCCATGGCCGCGTGGGAGCGGCGTCGAACGAATCGGCATGAGCAGCTGATGCTCGTGGGGCTGAAGTCTCGCGCAGGTCTCTCTGCGAGTGTGTTGCATGCCAGGCGCCAACGTAGCTCTCGGAGGGCCTCCGTGGCATGGTGGCGTCGGCAATGTCGTCGAGCGATTCGACGAACGACTCGCATCCCACGAGCAACAGATGTTCGAGGCGCGGCCAGGCGACGGCATCGGGGGTCGCCCACGACACGCCCTGCACCTCATCCGCGCACACCCAAGCGCAAAAGCTGAGATCGAGCACGCGCAGCTTGGTCAGGCTGCGGCTGAGCCTGCGCAGAAACATGGCGGTGCGCTGCGTGTCCACCCTACCCGTCCTCTCGGGCGCATGGCCGAAGAAGCGGCTGCCCGCTACACTCAGCACCTCGAGGTTGGGCAGCTGCGACAGGATTGACAGCAGCCCTGGCGAGTCGAGCGGCACAGGTGCCAAGTGGCTGTGGCTGTGGCTGTTCCAACCGGCCAGGCTGAGCATGCGCAGAGACACGCCTGCCTGGCCGCCGCCCAGCGAGAGCAGCCGGCTCAGCGTTCGAGTCGAGATGCTCGAGAACGACAGATCGAGCGCAGTGAAGCTGCCGTCGAGGTCGGGTGCGAGTGCGGCAGAAAAGTCGATGGGCGGTGAATGGCCATCTTCGTCCCAGTCACCCTCGGCCGGGTGATCCTCGACCTGCATCTGGTTGGTCAGCGCCTGCGCTGTCCAGTCCGCGAGCGGGCACTCGGTGGCGGCAACTCTACCGTATAGCGCGAGCATGCGCTGATGCATGCGCCGGGGCAAGTACGACAGCACCTCGCGCACGTGCTCGGTATCCATCTCGGGGCGTGCTTGGCGCTGCTTGCCTTTGCCGTGCGCGTGGCTGGAATCCGGCCGATTGATCGCATCTGCAATGACACAAAGCGTCATTTCAAACAGGTCCGAGACGCATGTGGCTGTTGGCTTGGGGCTCGATTTGTCGTACACCGAGCGGAGCACGGTGCAGATGGCTTTGCGCTGCGCTTTGGTCGGGAAGGCTCCGAGGGTGCTGGCCGAGGCTGTTGTGGAAATGTCCTTTGAGCCTGGGATAAAGAGGCCGCGATTGATCGTGAGTCGATCGAAGTCCCCGCGCCACGACTCGGGCGGGATGGGACCTGCGACCTGGCGTTGGAGTTGCGTCTCCCGGGAGCGTTGATCCCTTTCGCGCTGCGCCTGTTCTGTGGAGGAGATATACATGAGTCCGGCCCTGGACGAGGATGATGCTGCACTGGAAGCAACGGTTTGTACTGGAACATCGGGTTCTGCGGCTGCATCCGGATCGGTGCCGTCACAAGTGCGACGCAGCTTGGCTTGGAGGTTGCGGGCACGGCGCAGATCCTGCTCGCGCGCGCGCGCGAGCTTCTCGTTGACGCTCGACATGGGTATCGTGTCTTCCTACGTCATACGGTGAATAGCATTGCGCACCGTGGCATATGCATGCATGCATATATGCTGGAAGGCCATGTGAGAATGGGACGAGAAGAAGAAAGCAGGAAGGAAGGTGGTGGGAAGTTGATGAGCTTCTGGACGCATGAATTGCTGCGCAGGTGTGGAGGTCCGTTCGCAGTCCCACCAAAAAAAAAAAAAAA